GCCTCTGTGGTGTAAGCCCAATACAACTGCCTGCTTCACGGGAGACGGCTCTCCCCTCGCTGTTGTTTGTGTCTGCACCGCGGGCGCTATCACAAAGTATACTTTAGTCTCGAACCGGCGTTCGGCAAAATGACCAAGGGCGCGCTGGCCGGATGGTCAACGGACGGCGACGGCCCATCACGGACTGGCTTCATGGTCTCGACGATCGACTTCCCGCCCATCGAGAGCTTGGGAAGGAAGTACCTGATCAAGTGGAAGGAGAAGCGTGACGAGTACGACAAGGCCATGCGTGAGCACTCAAAGGCGACCGGTGTCCCGGTCAAGGTCCACAACAAAAAGTGGATCGACTCGATCAAGCGCAGTCTCTTGGAGACGGTGTGCACGCTCAAATGGAATATCGACGTCGACGGGCTCAAGGAGAACGAGTTCCAACGGCGGTTGATGGAGATCATGAGCGAGCGACCGAAGGACTACACGCACTCATCCGAGGACTACATTGCCTTTTTCAAGGAGCTCAAGATTGGACACGTGGTCGAGGACGACGTCTTTGAGGTTGTGGCCAACTTCATCACGGACGTCAGCGAGATCATCAAGGCGCATGCCCTGCAAGAAGACATGACGCTCAAAGGGCCGCGGCGGATCATCCTCAGCACCATTACGGACCGACTTGAACCCGTGCAGCTGCGCGAGAAGATGCGGGACATGCTTCGTATCCACAAGTTCGACTCCTTGTGCGCTTACGCCAAGCCCCTGGAGAAGCACTTGACGACGCTGATGGAAGCGAAGAAGTTCTCCTCTCCTTTTGAGGAAGGGGCGAAGCGCAAGGACCGCGAAGACGATGAAACTGAGCGTGACGCGGTCAAGGCGCGCAAGCTGCTCGACGAAGGCAAGGAGCCGTTTCAGGGGGAGAAGGACGACTCCCCCGCTGCACCCGAGCCAGGTGATCCTCCGGGTGGTGCCGCTAAGAAGGGCGGTGCCAAGGACAAGACCTGCTGGGCGTGCAAGGAGAAGGGCCACACGGTGCACGAGTGCCCGACCGTCAAGGACGAGGACGAGAAGGGCAAGATCATACGGGAGACGTTGAAGAAGAACAAGACGTTCCGTGCTATGGCGGGTGCGTCGGCTACGCACCTGCTAACCCTTGGGAGCAAGCTCCAAGTGCCCTACTGCCCTGACACGGGTGCTGACCTCAACATCATCCCGCGGTCGATGGTTGACAAGTTGTCGGCGGTGTGCCCCAACATCCGTGTGAAGCCTTTGGCGACTCCAATCCACTGTATGGGCTGCAACGGCAATGGCTTTACCGCCAAGGACAGCGTGGACATCAAGTTGCAGATCCAGACGGCTGCTGGCCCCGTCAACATTCCCGGGGCGCAGACGTGCTATGTGGTGGACGACGGCGAGGAGTTCTTGCTGTCCAATGCAACTCTCAAGTCGATTGGTATCGACATTGACCGCCTGCTCGAGCAGCTGGCGGCTCGTCAATTTGATGACGATGGCCACGATCTGGCGACGGACGACGACGACGATGCATGTGCACGTGTTCCCCCCCGCCCGACATCTGGTACGAGTGGCGTCCCAGTGGTACCGGTGTCGACGACGGCAGAGACTCGGCGCGTCGTGGACGCTCGAGCCTCGGAGGCGGTGGTTGGTCGTCTACCGTTTGAAGCCGTCGCTGGGCTGAAGATCAGCATCGACGAGGCGACGGCTCAAGGGTTCCCTGCCGAAATGCGCAACCGACTGTGGCGCATTGTCACCAAGCATGACGTTTGGCGGACGGCGTTTGATCCGCGGGACCCGCCGGCCATGGTGGCCCAGTTTGGGATCAAGCTGGTGCCTCAGAAAGCCCAGTTTTTCTACACCGAGGTCAAGTGGTGTGGGCGCACGCTCAACGCTGATGGCGTCAAGCACGACCCGGATCGCATTAAGGCTCGCTGCGACATCCCGTATCCGATGAACGCGGGCGAGTCGCAGCAAGTCATTTTTGCGCCTGACAAGGAGTGGAAGGCGTACCCTCGTGGGAAGATGGCGCTGTGGGCGGGCATCATGGGCGCGTTCCGCTACGTCATCGAGCACATTGATGGTATCCACAACTTGTGGACTGACATGATGAGTCGGTGGGGACACCGCGGCCCGGCGACGTCTTTGGTTTTGGTGCGTCGTTCTACTGCCGCGCGATCGCGGCGAGCTCAAGTAGACGAAATTCGGCCGAACAAGTGCCGTCGGGGCTCATCTACAAGAACTACCCAATTTCAAGCGCTTCGTCCGATTGACGATGATCGCTTGGTGTGGCCGACTCTCGCTGGGATCGGGGAGTGTCAGGACAAGGTGGGCGCAGATCGCCCGGCCAGTGCCACATTGGGGTGTGAAGTCTGGCGTGTCCAGAATGTCATACGTGGATGCGCTGCGGCTCAGCCTCCACGAGATGCACAAGAAGATTCCAACTGTCGTCCAGCGGTGTGTTGAGTCACGTGCCGACGGGCCCGATCAACCGCCGGCTCCGACGACAGGTGAATGCATAACTTGATGTTGTATATATGCATTTGTACCCAGCTGGCCCGGTGGCCATGGCTTGGGGGGTGTGTTGTGTGTGGATCAAAGGCTAAGCCATGTCCAACCAATGCAAGCTGCGATCAGCTGGAGATGCCGTGTGAAGATACATGTTGTAAGGGCTTCT